TATATATATATATATATATATATATATTTTTTTTTTTTTTTTTAAAGGTACCTTCTAGTTTTTTTCATATCTATAAAACTGCTCTAGTTTTTCTTTTTAAAGAAAAAGATTAAAGGCCTAGCATAAAAAGACTTTAGAATTCACTAAAAATTTGATATCTTGATCAGATGAAACTGACAAATTTTAAATTCAAATTGTTTGTATGCATGAAAGTTTATTCTTTAACTCACAGCAAAGATTTTATTCAGTTTGGTAAGCAGTTAGTTTATAAGCAGAACTATGGTTTTCATATGAACCATACATTTCACTGTATTAACAACTTTTACTATATTTTAGGTACCAAGACCTCTTATCTTGTTTAATATCTCGGCTCTCTGTGAGCTGAGGGGTGAAAACATTATCTAGTCTGATGAATTGCAACCTGTTTAAGGACACAACCTAGATTGGCATTTGTAGAATGTTTTTCTGGATCTTAAGTGCAAATAACTTAAATGTAACAAACATAAAACATGTTACTGCACGCCAATCCTCATAACTTTTTATTTTAAACAGTGACAAAAACCTACCACCTCCATGACTCAAACATCCCTGGCATATTATATGACAACATGCAAAGAATTTTGCCTCCATTGTCAAGTTGTTTATTGGACTTCTTGTTGGGGATGAGCAAGGTCTCCTTCAGCAAGTACGAAACATATGTTAAAAAAACTAAATGAAAGCATGTTGTCAGTCAATGTTGGTTATGTTGACCTCTTGCAAAATGGCAAGCAAAGTCATACTTATTTTTACATTTGCACCCACATATGTTGCACTGAAACGGATTTTCAAACCCATGACATCCCATGTGAATAGTATAAAGGATATTGTCTGCAAAATACATGTCACAGTGCTGGCAGTGATGCAGAAGCTGAGGATCCTGAACTGGAAGGGTTGGAGCTGGAGTACTTGGCTGACTGTTACTTATGCTAGGAGTACTAGTGTGGACGCTGCGATCACTGCTTGGACCTGCCACTGGACTGTAGTTCCTTTGACTGTGTGGGGGCCGAGGATCTGGGCTAGTAGGAGATGAACTTTGAGGAATATTTGTTGACACAGATGAAACTACTGCTGGTGCAGCAGGCTGCTGTATTATAAAAGGCTTTTCATCTTGGCATGGTACAACATCAGGAGATGCTGGGTTTTGGTTTTCAGGTGGCAAGCTAGACAACTGTCCTGCTAATGTTGATAGCTGATTTAATGGATTGTCTATCTTAAGGTCTTGTGGATCTCTCGGCAGGCCACCAGTCTGTGTTGTTTTTGTCATGCTTTCATATGCTTCAGTCTGAATATTTGGGATTTCATGGGTGAAATCATTAAGGTAGTCTGGTTTCTGAACCACCATGGAAGGCGGGCTCAAATTAATTAATGATCTTCTGCTGTATCCCAGATTGCTGGTCTTCTTCTGCAAAACCCCCCACATTTTCTTGCTGCTTAGGGAAGACCTAGTACCTTTTATAGGTACCATTTTATGCTTGCGTCTACGATGATGAGACAGGTTACTTCTGTCACTGCAGCGGAAGGAACACAATTCGCATTTATATGGTTTTTCACCAGTATGTGATCGCATGTGCGCTTCCAGATGACGTTCATAGGCTGATGCAAATGGACATAGATGGCATCTGTGTGGCTTTTCACCTGAAAGAGAGAAAATTATAGTGTAACGATTTATGTATATATGCGCAAAGCGGCCTAACAGAACATGAAAGAGAGTGAATGGTTGTGGGGGCTACTAATTGAATAGAGCATTTCACTTTTTAATCAACAGTTCAAATCCAGTCCAACTCACTGCTAATGGAAGGTTGCAAGGTGTCATAAGTGTTTTCAGTAGGCAAGTGTAAACATTAGAAAAGCCACCACTATTACTACAATTGGCACTAACTGAGACCCTGGTTGGCATGGTGCCAAGATATGAATGGTATGTAGTCTGAATAATACTCTCACGCCTCTAGAGGTGCTTTGTCCAAAATGTGTTTGAGGTATATAGGCAAGACAGCATGGCAAAGCTTGTTCAGTTACCTGCCATAGCTTTATTTGTTTTATGAATAACTATGCTTCAGACTGAAGTTTGCAGTGTTATCAGTCTGCCTTTTTGCAAACACCCAGATGGCTTTCAAATTTAAGAAAAATATAAGGACAGGTTTTTAGGACCCTCTGGTTAATTTAAAAAAAATAAAATAAAAAAAGGTAAACTATGCCCCCGGAGAACTAAGTGCTGTGTCATGGAGATGCAATTCTTGAGACACCCCTAACATCCAGCTCCCACCATCATGGAGCGGAACTGCACTGGTTACACTGTCTGGGGAGGTTCTGTATTCAGGAGGTTGGAGATAGATTTTGGTTTTTTAATGATGCCACCTGAGCTGTGGTAGAATACCAGGTATCATTTAGGCTCTATCCTCACTAATGCATTTAAAGTGTTTGAACAACACTTTTCAAACACGATTACAGGAAACACATTCATAACAGTACAGTCGGCGCCTATGATCTTCCTTTAAGATAGAGAGATCCTTCAGAGTTGTTTAGAGGAAGCCTATTCATTTGATCCAGAATGTTTTAAAAGCCCAAAGGTTTTAGTGCTTTGTGTCCTGGGAATTGAAACTCCAGATTTATGCTGGTAAAGAGGCTTAATGCCCTGCTGATGCTACTGATATCGCCAACTTCATAACCAGAATTATAGACCAGCTTCCATGCAGATGCTGCTCCATTAATTCTTCTACAAAAAGGGTATAACAGACTCCAGGGTATAACAGGTCTGACCTCTCTCCTTGGCACTGGGGAGAACAGCCTTACCCTTCTCTCTAAAGAAGTTTCCACCACATAGCAGGTTCCCAAACTGACTTCCAAAAGGAGTTACGTGTCTGCAGGCATCTACCGTTGATCTCGCATTGATACAAGATTGTAGGATGCATGCATCTGCTGTTGAGCTGTCAAACCCTCCCAGATGAGAATTTTTATGTTCATGTTTCTCCCAGGGGATATTTAGTTGGTTTTCTGCCAGAGTTCAAACCAGTATTTGCTCAAGCAGGACTGGTAGATCCTGATATAGAAAAACTGGGAAACTTTCCAGTGACAGGCATCTTATTGCTTAGACTCACAATTGAGTGTCTCAAGCTGTGATACTTTCTTCTAGCCAGACCTGCCTATACCACCAGCTTCAGAAGAGCAGCAGCAGCCCTTGATGCAAGGTACTTTTGTACTATCTTTTCAGAGGTTGGCATGTGTCCGCCAACTGGGGCTTGATATCTCTGTAATAAGCATACAATTTATACCAAGATTAAGCAAACAATCATATAAAGACAGGAGGGGACACTGAGTACTGGAACGCCACCCCTGAAAGGTAATTTAAACAGCTTTAAAGTAAGAGTTAGGGGAGGTTCCACTATGAAATGGAAGCATGGTGGAAGGGAGAGGGGCTCTATTAGAACTTGTACTTTTTGGAGAATAGATTTTTCAGTTTACTAACTGATCTTCAATGTTCAAAAATGCCTTCATTATAATTTTAGCCACTGTGCTTTTCTTGTGTAATTGGCCTACAGGCAGATATTTCAACATTATCTCCTAGTAATAAAATATAATTTCATGTACTAGTGTAAGCATAATATTTACTCAGTTTCTTGGTTTATAATTAGTTTGTGATCGAGACCCTCACAATAAAAAGAGCTATTCTCTAAGATTCAAAATCCTGCCAACATTTACGCATATGCTAAAACTTTACCACCAGGCCTAGTCCCATTGAAATCAATGCAACAACTCATGATAGTAAAGCTAAGCACACACATAAGTGCTTATAAGATTGGGGCCTAAACAAGTATTATGAAAATACAGTATCTCACCTTTTAAAAACTTAAAGAAAAATCTTTAAAAACCCCCACAGACTTAACTTTCCTCAATTGTAAGCAGTCATCACTACGACACTGCTTGAAGATACATGCACACATCTGCAAAGCCTATGAGTGAGTTAGTTCCATATACACTGAGCATAGAATACAAAGGTACTGAAACGCTGCCCCACAGCAAAGTACTTGTAGAATCCTTCATACCTGTGTGAATTCTGATATGCTCTATAAGCCGTGCTGTTCCTTTGCTGGCATAGTTGCAATATCGACACTTCAGCTTTCCATCAAATGTCCTTTCAAACCCATCCACTAACATTCCTGAGTTTTCATCCAGTGAAACTTCAACAGAAGGATGATCTAGTCCATTCTGATCACCATCTGCCCCAGCTATAAACAGTAAATGCAGTAGAGATTCTGACTGAGAATCACTGGGTTGTTGCTTTGTTACAGTGACACTAGTCCAAACTTGTTAGCTCCTTATTCCCTTAGCCCCCACACAAAAATAAAGTAATGAGAAATAAGTTTTGATGAAAAAGATGTTTTTTAGAAGACTTCCCCCCAAAAGGTTCTACAGCTTTACAGACTAGTAGAGTAGCCTTCATAATAAGCATGTTAAAATGCAAACATCAGCACAGTCATCCCCCCAAAAAACTAGAATACTTGACAGCACTGAAGAGAGCCTACCTCCCTGAAGGGCATCTGCTTCATTGTCCCCACTAACAGATCCAGAAATCATATTTACATGGTGTGTCTGTTGAGTAAGATATTCCTGAAAATCTTTTACGAAATCCAGAGGCTCCGGTTTCTTTTCACCCATATTCACACTTGGAGTTTACAATAACTTGTGCCTAGAAAAATCAATCAGAATCAGAGCACATTTCACTGAATTTGAAACAAAAGAATTCACAATTACAGAAACCAATGTAAATCAAAGATTACATCCCTATAGTCTTGTTAAATAAAATGCATATGGTCAAAAGTAAAATACACATGAACAGACAATCATAAGAATATTGTTGAAATCTTTACAGCAGCTCAATGCTATTTAAAGTTTTCAGATAGTCACAGTTGGGAAGATGGTTCTCAGCAACAGTATTATAAATACTTTTTAAATTTTAATAAAAGGATTAATAAAAGTCAAAGTTTAGTTGACTATGCGGACACGAGAATAAAACTCAATCTAACCTTACCATTCAGTTCGGAAATATTTATTAAATAATCTTTACAAAGGTTTAGATTCAAAGAGAACATTTTTTGAAATTCCAGATTTCTTAAATGCTGAGATTTGAAATCTTAGCATGGAAGGAAATTTATTGTAAAGAAGAGACAATTTTATACTGTAATTGTTCTGTAACTTAGAATTTTATGTTCAGAAATAATATTGCTCATGGACTTAAAGTTAGGCACATGCACAGTTATGATTCATGAAATAATGAACCATAACTATGCATCACAGTACATTCAAGATTGTCAAGAATGTTAATTACCATCTGGTAAGGAAAGTTATTTTTATTTATTCAAGTTTCAAATCAGCAACTGAGGGGAACAGATTTCAGAGGATGAGAAATTCCAAGTTTTCAAGCATCAAATTCGGTCTTCAAAGCAATGCATTTTTGATGCATATTTTGAGTTAGTGCTATAAAATCGTATAAATTATAGCAGGAACTCATTCATTAAAAAGAGTTAATTACAAAACAACATTTAATCTTAAAATCACTGAGATTTCAAAGTGGTACTGATACTATTACAGTACCATCACTTTCTCAAAGTTTCAAATAACTTGGATACATTTTACTTTTTTTTGGTAAAGAAACCCATTTTACTTTTTTGTAAAGAAACCCATTTCACATCCAATTATAAAGCTCATGCCTCTTACCAACAATATGAATTGAAGTAAGTGACTCTACCAATCTACTCATCTGTAAATTGGACATAAAAACCCTACCTACATTAGTGGTTTTATGAGACTAAAGAGAACTGATTATTTTACTGCATTAGATAACCAAAAAATTCATTTAATGTATATTAAAGAAATTAAGTCTATATGTAAAAATACTTGAAAAGACTTGAAAAATCTTCACTGTCATGAACTGAGCAGCTTGGCGATGCCTGAGGCTACCATTTTATTGATTATTCCAGTAGGAAACAGAGCTGAATGACGCATATCACGACAGGAAAATCAGAGCTGCAGCCAGACACAAGAATACAGCAGGAGATTTCTCCAGCTATTTTTAGCTAAGTTCTTTAGTTTTTCCTTGGGTTTTTGTTTTTTAAAGGTCTACGTGAATTGTACCTGAATTTCAGTTTCCTGCTAAGTAGCAAACATAGTCCAACCTGTACTCCCAGTAGGTCAGACAGAAAGCAAGGGAGCACAGCTGCCCCACTTTCCCTGGAACAAAAGATAAATAAAAAAATTAGTCTGTCAAACTTATGTTTTCTGATTTCTTAATCAAATCTTTTTTGGCTTCTTGCTTAACCTTCAGAAGAGAGGCTCAAATAAACTGCAACAAATAAAATTCATAGCAGTAGTTCAATTATTTCATTACATGAACTACATTTCCAGGAGGAGATCCTTTCATGGACCCCAGCCACTCCTCATCCATCAAGCTGTATGGAGCTCTCAAATATTTCATTCTGCAGACAACTAGTAGTGATCCACAGAACTAGGGAACCACTTTTCTGTAGGACAGGCAACTGGAAAACACACTCTGTAATAGTGTTGATTAGTAGTTATGGGAAGAAGGCTTGCAGGGGCAGTGCTGCATAATTCTGTGCTCCCAGCCACAGAATTTGAGTTTAATATTTTGTATAAGACATGGGGTTTTGTTAGACTATATTATCTTTCAATAAAAAAAAAAAAAATCACCATTTGTCACTCTTTTCCAATATCACCATTGTAAATGACCAGACTTTCCTAGAACTTTGACTTGCAATGAGTTTAAGATGGAAGATAAGATTCAGTCTGAAAAGGGGACAGTTTCAATCAGACATTTCAATTGCTGCAAATTATCACAGAAATCATTAATATCTACATTTTCAATTGGCAAATCCTTTCATTTTACAGAGTGACCAGAGTTTCATTAGATGATCTGCAGGTGTCCAGTACCAAACTCCAGATCACTACTAGGCATTTACATAGTGCTTTGCATTTTCAATGTGCTTCACTAACACCAGGTTAAATAACTTGTTAAAGTCACCTAAGAGGCCTAATTCAGCACATAGCACTAGTTACTGGAATACTGGTTTTCTGCAGACTATCTTTAGAGAGATGTCTATATGAACCTTTCTTTCACAATTATACTTTGTATTAAACTATAGTATTAGTGCAACATGGTACTGTACTGCTGATCCCAGTTTTATACACCAGTTAAGTCCCTTGCTACTCGTATAGTAACAGCTGGAAACTTTTCAGTGTCAACACGCTAAGCTCCTAGAATAGGGAGTGTCTCCTATACCAATTTACTACAGTGGTATGCAACCTGTGGTCCTTGAGGGCAACTGTACTAAGAAAATTTCTATTAAAATACAAATTGAAAATCTGTTCTCTAGGAAGCCCTTCCAGAACAGAAGTGTTTGAACAAAACCCACCACTTCAGGAATCAGTAGTAGGCTCCACCCCCAACTGCTGAAATACAAAGGCAGAAAACCACTCTGGTAGTATATCCCCCATACATACAGAGATAATTTTAATAAAATATGTAAAGTCCCACAGTCTACAGTGAGAAACAAAATCAAGACATTCCTCGTACTCCAAACTGTATAACAATTATACTTTCTAACAACTGTCACACTAAAACCACCTGAAGGTAAAACCACAACAAAATCAAATTGATGGGCAAGGAAGATCCCCAGGTACCCTTGGTTTGCAAATAAGTCAAAGGGGTTTCCCTACTTGACATCTTTTTTCATTCGTTAAACATGATTTCTCCATTTTCCTTTCTCCCTTGCTCCACACAAGCCAACATTCCAATGGGTTATTTATTTCCTTGTTTATCAACATTGATTATTGGTATCAATTGTGTCTAAATAATTCTTGGAATGGGGTTAACCAGTGGAGGTTTCTTAAATAGGCTTTATTTGATATTTTTGGAATCTGATACAGCAGCTGAAATTCAGCCCTGGAGTAAGTAGGTGCTGTTGTGACAATTGGGCCTACAAATTTACCCAAAATGTGAGCTCAATGGTAAAAAGTATGTATACATTAATAAAATGTTACAGTAATCTGTAACAACAAAGGTTGATGGATAAAAGTCCAAATGGAAGACAGAATAACTGAATTAGTCTAAATAAAAAGGCCAAGTTGGTATGACTCAAGGACTGTTAAAATTACACTTGTTAAAAACAGGAGATGTGGAGCCAGAAGTTAATAAACCAAGATTGGTATGTCGAATATTAGGCCCAATTGGTGGACAAAATAATGAGGGGATGGGCTATTCCCTTTTTGGGTCCTTAAAAGAAAGATTTTGTGGAGAAAGTATGAAAACAAAAAGGACATATGGAGAGAACAGATAGAGGCTACTGGGGCGAGTGTCAATATCATGGTTGCCAAACCCCAGTTTCCTGGGATCCTCAGCCTTCATCATCCTGATCCTGAGAGGTGTCCTGACCAGAACAGGCCAGAGAGAGGAGCCCAGATGACATCGCCACCCCACCATCTCCAGCTGAATCCCAAACATCACCTGGGATGATAGTTATTACCATCTTTGATACCATGTAAGAGACTGTCAAACAAGGGGGCTTTTCCTTCTAAGACTGGACTTTAAAAAACAACAGCTGCAACACCATCTCCAGCCCATCTCAACTAACTACTTCTCTTTTCCCCAAAACGACAGTTATTACCATCTTTTGATACCATCTAAGACACTAACAACAGGGGGTTTCTCCTTTTAAAAACACTCTCCTAAAGGGAAAGGGAACAAAAAATACTGTTACAATGAAAGCCTTATTTAATACTTTGCATTTCAAAGGTTTTAATTATTTTTCATTCTTTTCTGTATCTTTAATAAAAGGTTAAAAAGATTTTTAATTATGTGTTTGCCCTGGTGCTAAGCAGGCTGAGATCTCTGTATATCAAGCTCCAGGCCTTGCATAACTCTGTTTAATATTAGACAATGACTGGGTTGTGTCACCACCTTTAGATCATTTATTCCATCTAAATTAATACAACAGTGCCACTCTATTGGCTTCCAAGGAGTGGTGCCCTTTTGTGGCAGGGCTGAATATGGTCCACTATCCTCTCTTCTAATCACTGTAAGTTAACTCTGAGCAATCCTTTTTGCCTATCCTCTTTCAGATGTCATCAGCTTCCTCTAGGTTTAATTTAACTTGTGTTCCGTTTGGTGGTGGCTCCTGCAGTAAGACAAAGATACCAGCTCATACATTAAAAGGGGGGAGGGGGAAGAAAGTCTCACCAAGTTATAACTTTAAAGCATGTCAAATATAGGGATTAAACCAGTGGTGCACAAACTGGGGGGTGCCAGAGGTTCGGAAGGGGGAGGGGAAGAGATGGGGGGAGGGTGAAGAAACTTCAGACTTTCACCCTTTTTTAAAAAACCATACAAATAAAAGCACAGGTTGGCTTATTTTCAACAATTTAAGTTTCATAACTACAGTAGGCCTACGATGCCTTTAAAATTAATTTTGATTCTCTAATTTTAAAACTCATTTAATGATTAATAATTGATATTAAAAGACATAAACCAGCAACATATAAAATAATAGTTGAGCGCCTGGGACCTCTCAAGTGAGTCAGATGCTATAACACTAAACCAAATGAATGAACAGTCATCTCTATTTTTCCCCTCCACCTTCTGGCATGAAAAACAGTTTCAGATCACAAGTATTGGAGGAAGGGTGACAAATTCTGTGAATGGTGAGGGGGGCTGTGACTGGAAAAGTTTGCGCACCACTAGATTAACCGTTCAACAATGAATATTAGAAAATTGAGTTTTGGGATGGCTCAACAGGAATCAACATTAAAAAGAACTATATTTTCACCAAAGAGTCTGTAGTGATACTCTTTACTTCAAGGGGATACTCTTTACTTCAAGGGAGAAATTGATTCATGTGGTAATTTATACAGTAACATTTCAGTCTGAAAAATTCTCACAGACGAATGAATACTGAAAAGTGGAACTGGGGAAAGACAGAAGACATGATTTAGTGGTCTGCCCATCATGTTTAAATTAACTCCAGTCTCTGGTACTATAGTTTTGAATTTCAGAAGCCCTTCTGATTAACGTAAATTCCCAATAGGATCTAAGAACTAACTCAAACCTCACCATTTTCTGTTTCACGTGCAAGGAACATTTCTGTGACCTTGCTTAAATTAACAAATAGCATATCATGCATTTAAAAAAAAATATTCACAAAATCCTAGAGAGAGGAGAGAGAGAAAAACCCCCCCACAAGTGACAGATACTAGTCATATCACATACTAAAGTTGCTCATGACACGGCTATGGGTACCTGAACAGAATAAATTAAACTATATATTTTAGTGTATAATTTTTGGATGACACCTCAAACTACTCATATGAAATTCTACTCATGTGGGGAATATAATTTTTTTAAATGCACCACCAAGCATCATTGAAAATGGAGGAGTAATAGATTTTGTACCTTAACTAGTAAGTTTTCATGATAATTTTGACAGGCTGTATACAATAATCTAAGATTCTGCCTACTACAAGTGTCACAGAGAATTATATAACACATTCTTTAAGAACAGGGGGTTTGTTTAATTCATTGCTCTTGGGCAAAATTTTCCATCCTATACTTCACTGTTGTGTAGAGTGCTGGGCACTGGTTGTCTGCCTGGGTACTCCCATTCACCCCAAAGCTAGCTGCAATTCAGCAGTGCTGTATTCATATATTCTATAAAATGCTATAGAATGCTTTAATATGAAAGCCTTATGTAAAATATTACTGAAGTCTTCTACAGTTCTCTTGAAGAAAAAATTCACACACAAGCACTCCTGAGCCCTCTGGTTTGCTCCTACACTTCAGATACCATGGCTCTGAAATAGCTGTGACACAGACAAGCAGTTTGAAACCTTTGACAGCAAGCAAACATACATATTAAGTGTCACATTTTTCCTCAAGGAAGTCTCAAAAGTCTCTCTGAAACCACTGACTTGGTATCTCAGAATGAAGGGATTATTTCATAAAGGGAAGAACCAAAGACCTCTGAACCTCCGTAACTGTCATTTGACTTGTTCTATTACTTTCTGCCGGGGGGGGGGGGGGGGGGGGGGGGGGAGGGAGAAGAATCAGGATCTAAAGCAGTCCCGCATAATGCTCAAGGTTTTAAACAGTTAATTCCTCACAAAAAGTTACTAACAACTTTTCAAAGAGCTCCCACCTGGCACTCTTCAAAGTCTATGACACAAATGAGTCTTCATACAAAGGCCAAGAACCAGACTCTCCACACCCCATTCAGAGCACTGCTTCCCACACCAATTGCCTGGTAGGAGCCAAACATGGGAGGAAAACAACACTACCACTGCAGAATTCTGTTAAGCAAATTGCGCCTGATCTAAAGAAAACTTATAGCAGATACATATCCATTCCCAAGGGTGTGCTATGAGCTCCAGGCTAGAGAAAGCACTTCCTCGAGACTGTTCTCTCACACCCATCTCACATTCAATACCCCTGGTTTGTGTCTGTTTAAGTTTTGTTAAAAATTAGACCACCACGTTTGGAACCGCGCCAGGTGCATCTGTCGGCTATCCGCCCTTGCCATCTGTCTCCCGTGTGGAGCGGTGCAAGAGAAAGAAACGGCCACCCCATTTCTAGAGAAGGGAGAAACCCTCGTGGGCATCCCTCCTTAAGTCTGGGAGCGAGTGGCCCCCTCATCCGCCTGGGGCGAGGCAGACATCCCACCCACTCACCTGGGAGCCAGACAGAGGGCAAGGAAAGTCCCCCACTCACCTGGAGGGAGAAGAGAAGACCCACTGCCCCCCAGGGTCCACCTCTGCAGGGCGGGGAGGTGTCACTGCTTCCGCCCTCGGCCCCAGCCCCACTGCAGCCTCCTGCTCCCCGATGACAGGGCCTCGGCCCTGGGTGGAGAAGACAAGGGGGCTAGTCACAGGCGACGGCGGCCCCTGGGGGATGAGGGCACTGGGCGGCTCTCACCCACCCCCATAGCCCGGCTCCTGAGCTACGGGGCGGGAGCATCACTCACCTCCCCTGCACCCCACCGCTCCCAACACCCACCGCAGCCGCCATGTTTGTTGTGAGTGTCTCCCGTAGTAGTAGCCCCGCCCGCCCCGTTCCTCCCACCTCGCGAGACTCGCGCGCGCCGCGTGCAGGCGCAGTCCGCGCACTTTGGCCGTGGCGCTGGGCAGTAGCTGCTGCGAGCCCGAGCCGCGGAGGGGTTCGCCGCGGGCGAAGGGGAGTCGGCAGCCGCAGCAGCGAACATGGTGGCAGCGGCGCTGTGGCGGAGCTGCGCGAAGGTGAATCGTGAACCTGAAGGGGTCGGGCTGCCTCTGCCCCGCTCGCCTCGGGGGCCGGGAGACCCCTTCACCAAGGAGGCGCTTCGGGGTGCGGGGGTCGCGCCCCTCTGCCCCGAGCCTGTCCGCGCCCGGAGTAGGGGTGTCAACTTTGTGGGCACAAACCCCCAACTCTAGCCCCGCCCCTTCCCTGCGGCCCCGCCCCCTGCTCACTACATTCCCCCTCCCTCCCTTTCACTGGGCTGGGGTGTGGGAGCGGTTGAGGGCTCTAAATGGGGGTGGGGCCAGACATGAGGGGTTCAGGCTGTGGGAGGGGACTCTGGGCTGGGGATGAGGGGCTTGGGGTACAGGAAGGGGATCCAGGCTGGGGGATGGGGTTGAAGGATTCTAGATGTGGGAGGGGGCTGCAGATTAAGTCAGGGGGTTGGGCTATGGGAGGGGTGATGGCTCTGGGCTGGGGCCAGGGATGAAGGGTTTGGGGTGCAGGAGGGGGGTGAGGGCTCTGTGATGGGGCCGGGGATGAGGGGTTCAAGGTGTGGGAGGGGGCTCTGGGCTGGGGTAGGGGGGGTGCAGGCTCTGGGATTCAGAAGGGGGCTCTGAGGTTGGGGTGCAGGAGGTGGTGTGGGCTCTGGGCCGGGGATGAGGGGTTTGGTGTGAAGGAGGGAGTTCAGGGCTGGGGCAGCGGGGTTGGGCCTACCTAAGCAGGTTGCCTGTCTATCCTGGCAGGGCTTTGGAGCTGTGCTCCCGCTCCGCTCCAGGCAAAAACCTGCAGCTCCACTGCTCCAGAGCTGCTCCGGGCTCCGCTCCAAAGCCCTGTATAATCCTGGGGCACTGTGCTGTGCCCCGGAAGCGGCCAGCAGGTCCGGCTCCTAGGCGGGGGCAGCAGGCTCTGTGATGCGCGGCACCGCCCCCTTCCGCTCCCATTTGCTGAGAACCGGCCAATGGGAGTGCAGAGTTGGTGCTTGGGGTGGGGGCAGTGCGCGGAGCCCTGTGACCCCCTCGCCTAAGAGCTGGACCTGCTGGCCGCTTCCGAGGCGCAGCGCGGTGCCCTAGCACTAGCCTGCCTAGGCTCCGTAGCACTGCCGACCAGACTTTTAATGGCCCGGTTGACGGTGCTGACTGGAGCCTCTAGGGTCCCTTTTCGACTGGGTGTTCCGGTCGAAAACGACACCTGGTCACCCTAGCTTCATTAATGGTTAAAGAGTTTAACTTTCAATCCTGCTAATAAAGCGAGCCTGGAACACACGTAGCATGCTATCATTAATCTAGTGTTCCATAGGAACGTTAATAAGTAAAGAAATATTTATATGTTATGGGCATTCTCGAACATTCTTCAGATTTTAATAACTCCATCAACATTTGAAACTAAAATCTGTTATTTTCCAAAAGAAACATTATTAGAATGTTGCAGCTATTTTTTAAAAAAATCTTTGAATGCTAAAGAATTCATATTTCTCCAAATAGCCTTAACTAATTTATGTTGTAATTATCTCCCGTCCTCTACTTACCCACCAACAATTTCTTTGCATCCGTCTATGATGCTGTCAAAATACCATATCTTATGCACACTTTCTATATGGACTACAGTCCTTTGACTACCATATTGTAAATGTAAACCTACAAACTACTTCAGAGCCATGATAGAGGCTGTATGCACAACCCATTCTTTGCTTCAGCTACCTGTTAACATTTAGCTGGCTGTTAATGTCAATTTTTTCCACTTACATTCCACAGACACTATTTCAAATGCACCACTCCATTATATAAAAAAGAACTCAGTGTACCTCCCCTACCCTCCAGCAGCTAGATCACCACTGCCCCCTACTGATACTCACACCTTCTTATCAACTGTTTGAAATGGGCCACCCTGATTACATTGGCCTCATTACCATTACAAAAGTGATTTTTCCTCCCTTGGTATTCTACTGTTGAGAATAGCCCACTTCCACCTTAATTGAATGGGCTCGTTAGCACTGACCCCCCACTTGGTAAGGCAACTCCCATCTTTTCATGTACTGTGTATTTATACCTGCCTACTGTATTTTCCACTCCATGCATCTGATGAAGTGTGTTTTATAAGCTTTCATGGGCTGCCCAAATACATTTATTAGTCTCTAAGGTGCCACAAGTACTCCTTGTTGTTTTTGCTGATACAGACTAACGTGGCTACCACGCTGAAAGATAAGAATGTTTGCAGAACCTTTACTGTGAATTTCCTAATTTCAGCTCTTGGTGCTGTATGGCTTTTTGACATTTAAAAATAATCAGTCAGTTAAGGCTTATTGACAGTTGGCAGTCTGCTGCTTATCGTCATTTTCATTGCACCAACTCTGGGATTTAAAATCATTAAATAGAAACATGTTTTTATATCATTGCATCTTCTCTGAAGTGCGTACTCACTCTTAAAGTTATAAAATGTTAGATTACAGTTTATTTTGACAAGTTCCTCTATGATATCACAGTTGTGCCATAAGTTCTAAAATTATTTTAGTCACGTGTTTAATAATATAATATGCATTGTAGCTGAATGATTTGGACACTGGGGCTGCAGAACACTTAGGAACAAGAACAAAAATAAAATAAAAATAGAGTATTTGTACAACAGTCCATGTAGTTGCTAGCATTACTAGTTGATTGGTCTCAAGGCGAAGACACACTGAAAATAGTGAATAGGACTATTAATGTAAAGAAACTTATTAGAATTTAATACAATTATGTTTTGAATGGAGATAAAATCTATTAAAATGTACAGCTATTAATGTGAACATTCCAGCAAGCTTCTAATATTTGCAGTACTAAAAACAGATTCTAGCTGGTAGCTGCAATTCTCAAAACTATTCTCATTTTAAAAACATTAATATTTTTGAATCGTTGTCAAAATAACAATATATTTACCAAGAGATAGAAAACTGACAGGAGAAGAAAGTATTTTTTTAGGATTGATAGACACAGGTTGAAAGGAAATCAAATTGGTCGAGCCCCTTTGCTCCAAGTGCTCAAAAACTTGAAATTAGTAGCACTGAAAATAATGAATTATATGTAATTGTATTTCCTTTTCAGTTACTGAATAGAGAATAAAAACGGTGGGTGAAAATGTATATTCCTGTTTATAAATACTTGAACAATGTTTTCTGTGCATCAAAATTAGTTTTTATAACTTTATTATTATTTGTCAACAGCTAAGAAGAAACATGCCAATCTACTTGGCTTCTTGGAAGGCTCCTCCTAGTGTCTTTAAATCATCCAAATCAGAAGCTATGGTAAACCCAGCCAATGAGGGGGTAGTGTGTGCTCCCCTTGACACACTTACAGAAGAAGAAATAATGATGAAAGAAATGGGTAATTTGCTGTTCAAACTCTTAAAATGGAGCCATTTATGACTAGATGTCATCAAAAATTCAGTGTTAAATATTAGTAAAATATTGCTTTTTATTCCTTATTCATAGCTAAATTTTGAGACCAGTGTGTTGATCCAAGTTTATGTGAAAACTTGATTTCAAATTCTGTTTAGGTCATAAGTGACTCAGGTGACTAGCCTTTGCCACAATTTCTGCTCTGCTATTTTTAGCATGCTAGTTCAAGCAAAGCTAATGTGAGTCTATCTACCATGTTAGAAATCACACCTCCCAGTTGTAGTGTAGATATCTGTAAGGGTAGAGTACTAGTATGTATACAGGGCACACTGCAGGAATAAAAATCAATAGAGATGAGACCAAGGTACGACTCTGGAAGTTATGTGGGGTTCAGGCTTTAACACCTGACCATGCTTTTGAATGTAATATTGTAAGGAAAGTGATGCTTTTCAGATTTGACAACTTGCATCAAGCCCTTACAAAGGATCCTGTAAGAGCAGAGGTGGGCAAACTACGGCTCGTGGGACCCTCCTGCCCAGCCCCTCCCCTGCTGTTCCCCCCTCCCCCGCAGCCTCAGCTCACTCCGCCGCCAGTGCAATGCTCTGTGCTACGCGGTGGCGATGGCGTTGCTGGCTCCAGCCGGGCGGTGCGGCTGTAGTGCCGCCAGCCACAAGTGCTCCAGGCAGCGCGCTAAGTGGAGCAGGGAGCGGGGGGGAGGGGGGAAGGGGGAAGGGGATTGGATGGAGGGCAGGGGAGTTTGGGGGGGTGGTCAGGGGGCGGGGCGGTCAGAGGGTGGGGAATGGGGGCAGGGATCCCAGAGGGGCAGTCAGAAAGGAGCGGGGGTTGGATGGGGTGGCGGGGGGCAGTCGGCGCAGGGGTTCCGGGGGTAGTCAGGGGACAGGGAGAAGGGATGGTTGGATGGGGCAGAGGTCCCGGGGGGGCAGTCAGGAATGAGAGCGGGGGTTGGATGGGGTGGCAGGGGGCAGGCAGGGGCAGGGGTTCTGGGGGCTGTCAGGGAACGGGGGTTGTTGGATGAGGCAGGAGTCCCGGGGGGGTGGGCCATGACCCCTCCCCTAACCGGCCCTCCCTACAATTTCCGAAACCCGATGCGGCCCTCAGGCCAAAAAGTTTGCCCACCCCGTATAAGAGTCTGCGTCACCAAATTCATTCTCAAACTTCATGGCTTGTTATGATTATCATGGAACAAGATAACAACTGTTATGTGTGGTGTTAGTGTGTTGGGGCATCACACAGAGGGCGGTGTTAAAAATTGCACTTCAGGGATTATTTGTACCTTGACTCTATAGTTCATTATTTTCGGAGTATTGAGCATAGTGAACTCAACATCCTGGAAGGTCACGAGGCACCACTGAGCAATCTGAACTTTGTGTTAAGTTTTTGAGCAGTTTTTGTTTGTTTGGTTTGTTTTTTGGGGAGGTTCTAAAATGATTTCTCATTACCCTCTTGTCCAAAGCCCAGTTTTCCCTCTTCACTGCCACTGGCTCCTTGGAAATGGTTTCCTTGGCCGCAGAGGGCACTGGATGCATGTTAGTCCCTGAACTGTCCATGATCATCTCATCCCCCATCTCTCTGTCCAGAACAACCTGATTCTCCCTTGTCAGCCCTCCGTCCTATGGAATGGCAGGGCTAAGCAGTGGCCCCACAGATTGAGGACTAGGCAGAGCGTACAGGAGCAGTGCAGGGATCACTATGGAGTCATTGGGGCTTGTTTTCAAAGGGGGACAGAAATTGGGGCAATGGTTGGTGGAGGCTTGAGGGCAGAGCGAAAGTTGCCCCCAAGCTGTGATATGGATAACTATCCACTAGGAATTGGATCAAAGTAGTTGTAATTGGGCCATGGCCTGATCAGCTTGAGAGAGTAAATAGAAGAACTAGATTAAGCAAAAAAACTTTTTCCAGTTTATCATTTACAGAGTTCTTATTCAACCAAAATAATACACACCAGCAAGGTATCTGGCCACATTCACTGAAAGCATTTTTAAGTCTGTAAACTCTTTTTTAAAAACAAACAAACACCCTAATATGAATACCAGACAAACTAAACAGGAGAGCTCTTATGTCTCCAGGGGTTTCTGACCTGACTTCTGGTCAGCAAAGTGCTCTTGCATGCGAACTCTCAGAAATTTAAAAAGGGTCTGAGATGTAAATAGGCAATGCCCACTTACATCAGCACAGGGACTTGCATCTAGCTAAAACTATTAAAACCTCTTGCTGGGAATTAACCCAAAACACCCATATTGCTCTCTGGAACACTTGATCTTCCTTCCTGGGACACCACTGGGTTAGGGTGTTGCATATCTGTGGGATCTCCCTGTATTGGGATACGTATACCTTGATACAAATACTAAATCGCTGACTCTGATATTATTTAAAGAATTGGCTAGAATACTTATGTCCTTTCTTTTTTTTTCATTATAGTGAAAAAATTTGCTCAAGACCGAATTGCACCTTTGGTAAAAACAATGGATGCAAATGCGGAAATGGATGAATCTGTACTGCAAGGACTATTTGAACAAGGGGTCTGCATATTTTATTACTTTAATTCAAGGGTTACATTATTATTAAATGTTACTGCCAGTTGTGCAACTTTTTTTTATTTTAGATTAAGTAGTTTGAATGGATGTTAGTCTTTTCTGTTTTCAACCCTAAATTGATGTTTAGTGAGAAATTACAGTTAGAAAAGTTTAAATGTTGTGTTTCATTCTGACATTTAAATTCTAACAAAACAAGATCAGAGTGGTCATGGTGATGAATCGCATATGTATTGATAGCTCTGTATTTTGTTTTTTGTATGAGTAAATAACCCTATCTTGACCCCTATGCAGTGATTATCAGCTTGTTAATTTATTGTAGGCATTGCAGAGGGATCTGAAGAGATTTTACATTCTCTGACTTGCACAAAAGTATTTTAATTGCTTATTACTTGTAAGTAATTTTTTTTCCAGTAGTGAAAATATTTTAAAATCTTGTCAGCCTAAATTACTGCCTGTGATAATCTCCCCAGAACAGTTGTATTTACATTCTCTCCCTTTTAGCTAATGAGTATTGAGCTTGGACCAGAGTATGGAGGAACTGGATCTTCATTTTTTTCTACCATACTGGTGGTAGAGGAATTAGCCAAGGTTGACCCAGCTGTAGCTCTTCTGTGTGAACTCCAGAACACAATTACTAATAAATTGTTTATTACATATGGAACAGAAGAACAAAAGAGAACTTATTTGCCCAGACTGGCTAAAGATTTGGTGAGTTAAGTATGTCCTTTACTAAATTACATAAAATTTTATATGATTTCATAATGTTAGTGTCCATTTAGGGAATTAAATTATGCATTGCATTCTAAGGCAATATCTTCATATGCAAACATTGGAATGCTGATTGAGAACTGAAATCTGTCATTCCATGTACACAGATATATCCCCTTCATCTGGGGGGTGAAGGGGAAAAATGAAAAGTCTGTTGCACGTTTTTCAGTAATTTGGGGCTGATTCTGCAGTCCTTTTGAACACTACTCTCATAGGCTTCAATTTGGGTTACATATATGTAAAAAAATAGCCTGGCACTTTTGTAGCCGGTGTTGCAAGGTATTTATGTGCCAGATATGCTAAACGTTCATATTCCCCTTCATGCTTCGGCCACCATTCCAGAGGACATGCTTTTATCCAAGGATCACTACTATACCAATATTAATCCTCACAAAACCTTATGAGGTAGGAAGGAAGTATATGAAGTATTAGGCCCAGACTACTGGTTGGCTAACTGAGGCACAGAGGGTTACACCATGAATAAGTTTGGGAGAGCAGGGAAAATGTTGAAGAAGTCATGACTTCATTCTCCCTAGCTCTAACCTCTAGACAACCCTGTCTTCACACTTATAAACCTAACTGATACTACCCACAATATATAGGTTAAGAATGGTTGAAATATTTAACAACTTTATACTTACTTTCCTTTCAAGTCTTATATTAATGTTGCATGCAGTGCATATATTTTAAATAAAACCTTTCATGTAGTTTTCCCTTCAATTGATAGACAGGCAGTTTCTGCCTTTCAGAGGTTGGATCTGGCAGTGATGCATTTTCTTTGAAGACTCGTGCTGATAAGAAGGGAGACTACTATGTTATCAATGGCTCAAAGATGTGGATAAGCTTTGCAGAACAGGCAGGAGTGTTTTTCGTGATGGCAAATGCAAATCCTTCTTTGGTAAGTTGCTAAGGAACAATTGTGGCTATTTCCTGTGGCTGTTGATAATATGATACTGATGTAATGTGGTGTAAATTCTTTGCATCTTGCTCCCACTAAAAATTGATTTTTAAAAATTAGTCATATTTTCCCTGAATCATCTATATGACAAAAAATGGAGAACCTGGTGAGTATTTTAACAAATTTCTTCACACACCTGGGAAAATAAAAATGTCAAAATAGTAACTGCCCAAATGAGGGACCCAGCAAATATTGACACATCCTGTCTCATCAAAGAATAGACATTCTGAATCTTAATGGCACTTCTGTTGTATCTTTTAATGTTTTTTTATTGGCAGGATACTGTGATTAAAAGTGCAATATAACTAGGCCTATATGCAATGGAAAGGAAAAGTTAGTACAATATTAAAATATGCCCATGTGACAAAGCACATTTGAAAAGAGACATGCCATGTTTTTTCATTTATCAGTTTAGATATAAGTAATGTAAAGACAAAAAAATCCTAAACTACATAGTTTAAAATGTAAAAACATTTCCACCAGTTAACTAAAAAAGATGGTGCAACTGAAAGGTGAAAACTGAGCAGCTGCAAAACTTAATTATTAGCAAAGGTGTTATGTTTATTTATTAGAATTGTTTTGCAGTGTCCCATTCAAAAAAAAGCCTAACTTAAATAATAACGTTTTATAAATATTTTCAAGTTTAAGTTTCAACTGATCAAAAGGGTTTTTAAGTTCCATCAGTGAAGAGCTGACTTTTTAGTTGAAAATCATGTCATTTCCAGTCCAGGTCTATATATATTTATTTATTTATGTAATTTATTCATTCATAAATAGGTAGACAAATTAAGAAAAAGTTCCATAATATTAGATACACCGAAGTTCAACTAAGTCCTATTTTTAATCTCCTTCATGAACACTGAAATTTTGAGGCAAATTATTAATTCAGGGAAACAATGTATTTCTGTGTCAACAAACAGACAATTTCAAACTATAAAGTGAAGTGCAATAGTTAATGAATGGGATAAGTCTCGCACAAACACTAATTTCAGCTAAATGTGGAATTTGTTCATCCTCCTGCCATTTGTGTGCATCTGCCATTACTGTAAATGGGAATTACATATGTGCTATGTGAGAATAGACCGATAAAGAATTATACACTGAAATATCATGTAGCCTGTATTTTACACAAAGCTTATAAATATTGCAGCCAGATATTATGCTAAGAGAATATTAAAGTTGCAAAGTGAAGTAGCCAAAATTTAGCATATGCCAGGATTAAGGTTGCTCATGCAATCCATGTATATTGCCACATGCCTTATTTACTGCATACTATTAAAACTCTGATCTGAATACAAAATTAATTTCCTCTTGGACTTTTCTGTGATACTGTAGCAACTGAATACTTCACTAATGTTAACTAATTTATTTTCCCAATTCCACTGTGCTGTGAGGTAGTAGTATTACCCCCATTTTATAGATAGGGGAACTGAAGCACAGAGTGATTAAAGTCAAAAGTGTCCACTAATTTTGGGTGCCCCAATTTGAATCACGTAGGACCTGATTTTTTCAGAATACTTGGTATTTTATATAGCCCTTTAAATGTTCAAAACACAGTTTCCAGTAACTTCAGTAGCAGCTGTGAGTGCTCAGCCCCAGGGGTCTTATTTTGACATTCATAAAATGAGGAACACACAATTTAGTGGACATTTGCGAAAAGTTTAGGTTGTGATTTACCTCGCATCACATAGAAACTCTGTGATAGAGGCAGGGTTAGAAACCAATTCTCCAGGATAGTGGTCAACTGCCTTAACTGTGAGACCACACTTTCTCTTCTTGCAACCCGCTGCATTCACTGCACACCTTCCAGCTTCTGCAACAAATGAGGCAGGTATCCTACAGATCACTCTCTTTCACTGCACAGTCCTGATTTATCCCATGCCAAGTCCATTCTGCATATTGAAAAAGTTAGGTGTGTGCTGTAGAAAAAATAGTATTAACGGGCAATCTTAATTTGGGCTTATCCTAACTTTTGATTGCTTTTAAAAAAAAAACTAGGAAATTATACACAAAAAATACGTCAAGTTTGCAAACTGAAAAATAGAAATTCCCTCATGTGGAATTATACTGACCTCTGTGTGCGTCATCCACAGGGTTGGAACCTTTAGATCCTCTGCATAGACCTGCTTGAGCTAACTTGGTAACTGATAGCAGTCATAGCTTGTCCTCCTTTATGGGGACTAGCCATTAGAGGTGCATGAGAGAAACACTTTGCCATTGGGTTTCACAAATAGTCGCTGACAGCAGAGGAATTTTAAGTTCATTTCTAGGTTCTCTTGGGTGTATGCTCTAAGTGATCAAACTCTTCTGTCCCTCTTTCTGTATCCACAAGACCTGACTCATTCTGCCTTTGTCTCCTCCAGACAGACTGTCTCTCTGATAGTCCTGTTTTTCCCCTTCTAACTCCATAAACCAGTCTCTGCCTTTCCCCAGGCTCCTTGTCCCAGTCTGTTTCCTTGCGTAATCAATCCCAGTCTCCACGCCCCTCCCCAGGCTCCTAATCCAATTCCAGTCTTTTTGCCTAGCCAGTCAAGTGGATAAAGCACAGTTGGGTGACCTTGTTTTTGCTGATGGCACTGTCCTGCTTAGTTTGACACCTCATTTAATAGAAAAAAAAATCCAGCTTTTGGCAGAGACAGCAAAACACGTTGGTTTGTTGATAAACATGGGGAGGACAATATACATGACTATTGGTGATGCAAAAACAACCGTTAGAGTAGACTTAGAAACACTAGGAAGAAGTAATTTTACCTGTTTAGGGAGTCAGATGTGCAGTGATAGTGACACCATGCTACATGTCAAGCAACAAATATCAAAAACAGCAAACAGCTGTCACAAACTTGAAAAGATTTGAAAAAGTAGTATGATTGGCACTCACACAAAAATACGAATTTTTAACACTGGCATCATGTCTGTCCTCCTTTATGGAGCAGAGTCATGGATATCTATAACAGAAATTGTAAGATCAACTCATTCCAAAGTAAATGCCTGTGGAAGATCTTCAAAGTCCATTGGAAAAAGTTTCTTGCAACATCAGAAATTCTGTATAGAGCAAACCAACCTAAAGCATAAACATGGTAAGAAGAGAGTGATGGACATATTTAGGACACACTATTAATGATACTACCAACATGACTTCCACGTCAAGCAATAACATAGACACCACCTGGGAAGAGGGAAAAAAGGGTGACCTAGAGAAACATGATGCAGAGCAATAGAGAAAGAAGCTAAATCCATCCACATGACTCAGAAGCCTGAACAGAGCAGCACAAGACCTAAATAAATGGTGGAAACTAGGTGGATGCTCTATGCACCTGAGGATGTATGGGGGATAAAGAAGAAAATGAAATCTAAATCTTTCCCTCTGGTCTCCTTGTCTAAGTCCGAGTCTTCCCTCCACCTTCCAGTCTCTCCAGTCACTCTCTCCCAGGCTCCTTACCGTCTCAGTCCCCACAATGCCTCTCTGCTCCAGTCTCCCCAGGCTCTTAGTGCAATCTCAGTCTGTTTCCCACCGATCCCAGTCTCTTTGCTAGACAGTCCCATTATTTTTCACTCCCAGTCTTCCCCTTCCCCCCCACTTTGGGCCTGATTCCTCATTCTACTGCATTCCAGCCGGGCTGATTCCTCCATCTCCACACTGCCTGGGCCGCAGCAGGACAAGCACTGAGAGCACAAAAGAGATGTTTTTCCTGCTCTCCTTCTCTGTGTCCACTGTCACAGCAGCACCTGGCAGATGGGAGGAGCAAATACAATCTGGGAATGAAGCCTCCTCAGTGGGGGTGGAATCTCTAGAGAATTTAGGTGCCAAACTAACACCTGTACTGATCATGTGTGAACTGAGATCTTTCAAAAGCTTATAATTTGGGCAGATTTTCATGGGGACAAGAAAAGCTACTGCCATGCTAAATTTGAAATCCCTGCACCACAGCCTGGAGGCTTTAGGGATTCTCAATGAAGTGGTGCTAAGAAGTATTTTACCAGGGGGAAAATGTATTTTTCTTAATCTTGAAAATGGCTGAAACATGTTTGCTGAAATTCCGCTGCTCCCTCCTCCCCCCATGAGCCTAACAGCCAACATAGAAAATTTTAGCCTGAACAGTTACAGTTTGGCAAAGCTGTTATAAGCAATTGAAAAGAGGGTCTTCTAATGGGATGTGTCCGAAAATATCCACGTATAATAAGTCTTGTGACTCACCTTGATGCTTTAGGTGTAATACTAAAAAAGGCATATTAACTTTTTTTGTTTTCTAGGTAACTCTGATTATGTTGGGTTCAAGTATTTAAGGTAACTTCTGTTAGGAAATACATGTTTAACCAGATTTAGAAATGGCATAAAATACCAGACATACTAGTAAGAGCTATCAATAATAATCAATTGATAAATTATCAAATTCAATACTTTTTGTAGTGGATTTTATCAGTATGAAAAATGTGTAAACGAATCCTGGAGATTGGAGAATGACACAAATTAAACAGTGTTACATAATATGAAATAGAAAATAACATTACAGAAACTGGGAAATATCTTTCAATGATGTTGCAGGAACGCTATTTACAAATGAACACTGAAAAGACTCAAGAACCTTGTTACATATTTTTTTCTCTTTTACAGTCTTGATGAATATTAATTTTTGATCACTGCGATTAATATTAAATAAGCATTATGTGATAATAGACAACAGCTATTTTTTTAATCATGTTTCTGTGAAAGAAACCTTTAAATTATTTACATTTTTAAATTAACATGCACAAGTAAAAATTAAACCATTATGGAAGAATATAGTTATTTATTAGCTTAGACTTCAAGTTAATATTCGACTAGATGCTCCCCACTATTTAGTTTTAGGGGAATTCTGCACCAAAAAATTAAAAATTCTGTGCGTGATATTTTAAAATTCTGCATATTTTATATGTCAAAATAACACAATATAATCAACCAATTTCAATTATTTTGGTAATTTATTTCAAAATAACTTTTAGCAAGTATGTCTGTAATAATACAGACAAAAAAATTCAGAATATTTTTTTTGACAAATAGATTCCTTACTAGGCAAATTAATACAGAACTTTGAGTAATTCATTTAAACTATAATACAGAAACGTATTTCCCGCATCCCTCAGAAGTAGTAGAAAGGCTTGGGGGAGTTAGGGCTAACAGAGGAGCTGAGGGAGAGGGTCGGAGCCTGGGAGTGAACCTGGAGGATTGTTGGGTGTGCGTGGCAGAAGTATGGAACAGATTTTCGGGGGAGGGATAGGGAGTTGGGGAGTCTCCACCATGCAGGCCCTGTCTGGCCCCAAGCCTCTCCCATTCAGTCAGGCACTTTACCCCCCATGCCCTTGTGGCCCTGCACCTCTTCCCATTCAGCCTCGGCTCAATGCTGTCACCCCACTAGCTCCTGAGCCCCCGCCCTAGTCTGCCCCCCCAGTAGCCCTTCTGAACCCCAGTCCATGACCCCACAGCAGGCTCCCTGTGTGCCCCACTCTGTCTATCCTCCGCCCATGCCTCCGAACTTGGCTCCGCAGGCAGGGTGCTGTGATGAACGCAGCAGGCTGCAGGGTGTTACTACCAGTAAGCTGCTGCTGTATGTTCTGGCATCACAGTGGCCTCTGGTGGGCAAAAGGTGGAACTGCAGTATTTCTTGGGCAGAATGTATTTTCTTCACAGAAAAAAATTTCTGCGCTGGACATGAATTCTGCATGTACGCAGTGGCACAGAATTTCCCCAGGAGTAAGACTGTATTTTACAGCATTGAAGGAGAAAATTGTACGTGGAAATGGGCAAGAGAATGGTGCCTAACGCCATGTACATCCCCATCTGTCATATATATAATAGCTGTCTGCAGCCTCACCACATGAATGCCATACTGTTAAGGCTTGTGAAGGTGCTAAACTCCCCTGGTCCCTCTGATATCAATGGAAATTGATGGTACTTCAAAGGATCAAGCCTTTGGGGCTCTGCTGAAATTGGGTTCTGGTTGCTGGAAATGGGGTGAAGCACGGGAAACAGCCACTCTGAACAGCATGATTTCATGGGAAAGGCCACAGATTTACATAATAAGATGGTGTGATGCTTCAGAGAGCAATGCTAATTCTTCCACCTCACAGAGTAGAAGTTAGCGGCTTTAGTAGGAGAGCCAATGGGAGCACAGCGCAAAAACGGGATTTGCTGTCGGGTAAAGTGATCTCAAAGGAGCACAGAGGAAGAACTTCAGTTGCATGAGGCCTGCAGGATTGGGCCAGAATTTCCAACTGTTTTGCATTCTATATAGGTATTACAGACCCTATCCTTCCCCCTTTATTTGAAGCTCTCCTCCTCACCATATGGTTGATATGGCTAAGAGAGCCACTCAGACTGTTTTAAATGTGCTTTTTTCTCTGTTATTTTTTCTACAGAAAGGGATGACTTGGCCTTTGTTAAATTATTGCAATTGCAAAAGATATAGCTGGGGGAAATAAAACAGATGATGGTTCCACATTTTGTTTATTAATATAGTATTTAACAGGTTTATATTGCAATATAGAAATCAAATATTCAAAGCCCATTTGGTTTTATCTTAAAAGTCAATTCTTTGTTTTTTATCCATTGCTTAGGGATACAAGGGAATAACATGCTTCATAGTAGATCGTGGCACAGAGGGCCTACATGTAGGGAAAAAGGAAGATAAACTGGGAATCAGAGCAACTTCTACGTGCCCAGTAACTTTCGAAAATGTTAAGGTACAGTAAGTGTTCTAGAGGTTTCGGCAGAAATTTAGTAACCTTGTTAAGTGTAACTTGCATGCATCTTGAGTATGATACAGGATTAGGAAAGAAGACTTGGTAAGGACTTGATTTTCACAGATGCTGAATTTTTGGGGGTAGCTGTGGCTACCCAGCATACCTGAAAATCAGGACTTAAGGGACTTGGATTACTCACTTGGCATCTCAGTGATACAAGTTTTCATTAGTGGTCCAATTCTGAATAATTTTGTCTGTTGTCCTTCTTGTAGTCCTGTGTGTGTTGGGGAGGTTTCTACAAAAGTATTATGGGAATCAGGTGCCCATTTTATATTGCTGCCTTCAGTTATGAGACATGTTAAATAAAACATGTACAGCTGTGAGCGGTACTAGCAGTTACAGAACAGAAAAGAAGGAATAATTGAGTGGTTTTATTCTTTAGGTTCCTAAGACCAATATCCTGGGACTGCTTGGAGAAGGCTATAAGTATGCAATTGGAACGCTAAATGTGGGCAGAATAGGAATTGCTGCACAGGTGAGTAACATTGTTTAATATTTAATGTGATAATTCTGTAGTTTGAATTTGGATTGAAACCTTTAAGCTATTATAAGAAAGAAGTTGGTAATGGAAAATTAAGGAAATACCTTATGAAAAGAATCTGTGTTGCCACTAGATGTCACTCTTCTTTTATGTAAGATAAAATAATGTTTGGTATAGGACTATACATAATACTGATTATTGTACATAGAATTTTGCATTATTAAAAGCAATACTGTTTTCATTGTAATAGTCTATTTTGAGAAACAGTAGTCAGGTTTCAGAGTAGCAGCCGTGTTAGTCTGTATCCGCAAAAAGAACAGGAGTACTTGTGGCACCTTAGAGACTAACAAATTTATTAGAGCAAACAGTAGTTAATCTCCAATGATTAATTTATTAATTTTCAAATATATCTAAAATGTCATCTTCATCATTAGAGACACAAGGTGGGTGAGATAATATCTTTTATAGGACCGACTTCTGTTGGTGAGAGAGACAAGCTTTCAAGCTATATAGAGCTCTTCTTCAGGTCTGGGAAAGGTACTCAGAGAGTCACAGCTAAATACAAGATCAAACAGATAATTGAGCATAAGTAGTTAGCACATCCAGTGTGAAAGATGCCTGCTGGTGGAATCTCTCAGGAAGCAGGTGGGAGAGCTACGGAGGAGATGGCTAGGCTGAGGAGCACCCATGCCCATGAGGAATTCCTTGAAAGTATTCATATGGAGACATCCAAGGCTGAGGAAGCTATCCAGCTACAGAGGACTGCTGTCACACCACCAGGGGAGGAGGATATGGCTCTGTCACAGGGAGGACACTGGCTGCTGGTTGCTTCTGGCAGCAGGCCGTGCTCCACCCCTGCTTCCAACCCACCCACCGTGGTGATGGAAAACCGATATGCTGCCCTGGCAACAAGCGATGAGGAATCACCCCCAAAGGGGGAGGAGGAGAAGCCATGTACCCCCAAGGTTGGGAGGATCGCAGCCACTGCTCCCAGGAGGAAACACAGGGTAGTGGTGATTGGGGACCCTCTTCTGAGGCACTCATCTGTCGCCCTGACATGGTGTCCCGGGAGGTATGCTACCTGCCAGGGGCGCGTATCCGAGACGTTATGGAGGGATTATTGACTACTACCCCATGCTACTCATCCGTGTGGGCACTAATGATACTGTGAGGTATGACCCTCAGCAGATCAGAAGTGACTACAGGGCTCTGGGAATAAAGGTGAAGGAGTTGGGAACGCAGGTGCTGTTCTCTTCGATCCTTCTGGTCAAGGGTAGGGGCCCAGGCAGAGACAGATGCATCCTAGAGGTGAACACCTGGCTGCGAAGATGGTGTCGTCAGGAGGGCCTCGGCTTCCTTGACCACGGGATGCTGTTCCAGGAAGGACTGCTCTAGATTTGATTTTGACAAATAGTGAGGAACTGGTTGAGAATTTGAAAGTGGAAGGCAGCTTGCGTGAAAGTGATCATGAAATGATAGAGTTCATGATTCTAAGGAATGGTAGGAGGGAGAATAGCAAAATACAGACAATAGATTTCAAGAGGCAGACTTTAGCAAACTCAGGGAGTTGGTAGGTAAGATCCCATGGGAAGCAAGTCTAAGGGGAAAAACAATTGAAGACAGTTGGCAGTTTTTTCAAAGAGACATTATTAAGGAGCACAAGAGCAAACTATCCCACTGCATAGGAAAGATAGGAAGTATGGCAAGAGACCACCCTGGCTTAACCAGGAGATTTTCAATGATCTAAAAATCAAAAAAGAGTCCTACAAAAAGTGGAAATTAGGTCAAAGTGCAAAGGATGAATATAAACAAATAAGTATGTAGGGACAAAATTAGAAAGGCCAAGGCACAAAACGAGATCAAACTAGCTAGAGACATAAAGGGTAACAAGAAAATATTCTACAAATACATTAGAAGCAAGGGGAAGACCAAAGACAGGGTAGGCCCGTTACTCAACGAGGGGTGGGGGGGTGGGGAGGAATAATAAAAGAAAATGTGGTAATGGCAGAGGTGCTTAATGACTTCTTTGTTTCGGTTTTCACCAAGAAGGTTGGTGGTGATTGGACATCTAACATAGTGAATGTCAGTGAAAATGAGGTAGGATCAGAGGCTAAAATAGGAAAAGAACTAGTTAAAAATTACTTAGACAAATTAGATGTCTTCAAGTCACCAGGGCCTGATGAAGTGCATCCTAGAATACTCAAGGAGCTGACTGAGGAGGTATCTGAGCCATTAGCAATTATCTTTGTAAAGTCATGGAAGACGGGAGAGATTCCAGAAGACTGGAAAATGGCACTATATTTGCCCATCTATAAAAAGGTAAATAAGGACAACCTGGGGAATTACAGACCAGTCAGCTTAACTTCTGTACCCGGAAAGATAATGGAACAAATAATTAAGCACTCAATTTGCAAACATCTAGAAGATAATAAGGTGATAAGTAACAGCATGGATTTGTCAAGAACAAATCCTGTCAAACCAACCTGATAGCTTTGTTTGACAGGATAACAAGCCTTGTGGATAGGGGAGAAACTGTAGACATAGTATATCTTGACTTTAGTAAAGCTTTTGATACTGTCTCGCATGACCTTCTCATAAACAAACTAGGGAAATGCAACCTAGATGGAGCTACTATAAGGTGGGTGCAAAACTGGTTGGAAAACTGTTCCCAGAGAGCAGTAATCAGTGGTTCACAGTCATGTTGGAAGGGCATAATGAGTGGGGTACTGCAGGGATCAGTTCTGGGTCTGATTTAGGTAATGACATAGAGAGTACACTTACAAAGTTTGAGGAAGATACCAAGCTGTAAGGGGTTGCAAGTGCTTTGGAGGATAAGATTTAAATTCAAAATGATCTGGACAAACTGGAGAAATGGTCTGAAGTAAATAGAATGAAATTCAATAAGGAAAGATGTAAAGTACTCCATTTGGGAAGGAACAATCAGTTGCACACATGCAAAATGTGAAATGACTGCCTAGGAAGGAGTACTGCGGAAAGGGATCTGGGGGTCATAGTGGACAACAAGCTAAATATGAGTCAACACCGTTGCAAAAAAAGCAAACATCATTCTGGGGTATATTAGCAGGAGTGTTGTAAGCAAGACACGAGAAGTAATTCTTCTGCTGCACTCCATGCTGATTAGGCTTCAACTGGAGTATTGTGTCCTGTTCTGGGCACTGCATTTCAGGAAAGATGTGGACAAATTGGAGAAAGTCCAGAGAAGAGCAACAAAAATGATTAAAAGTGTAGAAAACATGACCTATGAGGGAACATTGAAAAGATTGGGTTTGTTTAGTCTGGAGAAGAGAAGACTGAGAGGGGACATAACAGTTTTCAAGTACATAAAAGGTTGTTACAAGGAGGAGGGAGGAGAATTGTTCTTCTTAACCTCTGAGGATAGGACAAGAAGCAATGGGCTTAAATTGCAGCAAGGGAGCTTTAGGTTGGACGTTAGGAAAAACTTCCAAACTGTCAGGGTGGTTAAACACTGGAATAAGTTGCCTAGGGAGATTGTGGAATCTCCATCACTGGAGGTTTTTAAGAGCAGGTTAGACAAACACCTGTCAGGAATGGTCTAGATAATACTTAGTCCTGCCATGAGATGACCTCTCGAGGTCCCTTCCAGTCCTATGATTCTATATTCTAAAGTAGCATTTCATACTGAAAGAAATCTTTCCTGAACCCCTTCTTCCAACCTTCAAACAACCCCTCCTCCCACCCACACCCCCGACAACCTCTTCAAGTGCATCATCAGAAACAAGCTCCCCACAGATCAGGACACACCAAATCAAAGCAGCACCAGACCCTGCCAGAGCAACAGATGCAAAACCTGCAGACATATCTCCACTGCTATAATGATTAACATACCTTTCTAGATCCATTGGTCCTATACATGCCTATCCCAACATGTGGTGTACTTCATCCAGTGCACTAAATGACCCAATATCAACTTTGTGGGTGAAACCAGACAATCACTATGGTCTCGAATGAACTCACACAGGAAAATGATAAAAGACAAAAACACCATATCATCTGTGGGCAAAAACTTTTCACAAAACAATCACTCTATATCTGGCTGTTCAGTCCTTATCCTTAAAGGAAACCTGCACAACACTTTCAAAAGGCAAGCCTAAGAACTTAAATTAATAACTTTGCTAGACACTAAAAATCGTGGTCTTAATGAAGACACTGGATTTATTGCTTATTACAACAATCTGTAACCCACTAGCCCCTCCTTTTAGTCCTATGACTACAGGGGCATTAATGGGCCACGTTACCTTGAATGGTCTATTAGAATGTGCGTTAACTATTTGTACTAAACTGTCTGTTCCATATTGTATTTAGCTATGACATTGAGTACCATTCCCAGACCAGAAGAAGAGTTCTGTGTAGCTCAAAAGCTTGTCTCTCGGGGCATGTGTACGCTACAGAATTATGTTGATCTAAGTTACATTGGCATACAGCTGCCGCAGTAATTAAATCGCTTTGGTGTGTCCACACTATGCTCCTTGTGTCGGCAGTGCGCGTTCTCACCAGGAAAGCTTGTGTCAGTGGGTGCATCATGCAGTAGCAATCACTGTAAGCAATGCAATGTCTACACTGACACTGTGTTGACCTAACTACATTGACATTGACTCTATGCCTCTCATGGAAGTGGAGTTATTAAGCTGGCGTAGCAGGGCAGTTTAATTGGTGGGAGCAAACTTTTAGTGTAAACACTTACATAGTTAGATTGACATAAGCTGCCTGGCGCTGACCTAACTCTCTCTCACCAACAGAAGTTGGTCCAATAAAAGATATTACCTCACCCACCTTGTCTCTCTAATATCCTGGGACCGACATGGCTACAACAATAGTGCATATCTTCCATCATGTGCGTTAATTTTTCAAAAAACAAATTCAGCTATTTGACACATACTGCATATCATATAAATAGTGTAAGAATAAAGAGTAATATTTAGTGCTTACAATATTGATTGCATACTTAGCAAATG